TCAGTGTGTTCTGCCAGCTATGTGTTCTTTTGTATCTCTGCACCGGGTTCCTGTGTGATGGAGCACAGTGACCTTACACTCCCATGGTTTTATCACAGCTATTTCTTCCTCTGGGAAGTTTACTGATGGTATTTTGAGATGTCCCTTTATTTGATTTTTGTGTTTGTTGAGCCAGAAAGGTTTTAAAGGTACACTTGTCAAAGGTTTTAGGACTTCTTTTGAAGTCGTGCCTATGCAGGGCACAATACATTTACTTTTAATCCTTCCCTCCTCTGCAACACATACCCATCTTTTCTCCTCTTGTCGCAGCTGTTCAGCTGCTGAGAACAGGAGGGGACAATCAGTGTAAGATGGACAATCTGTGTAAGGTACAGTTCACTTTACAGGGCTTTGGACTCTGTGACAGCACTGGTGATTGGCCCTCTGCCATCTCACGGAGTGTGTCACATACTCCACCATACCTGAATACTGGGTATCCTCATCTTTGATAGCAGCTAAACTGAGCAGTAGAGATGTGAAGAGAAAGTGAGTATGTATTGCTAGGAAGGGGGCATTAAAGCAAACCTGTTTCGTTGTCCTGAATGGGAACAGCAAAGGTTTACCTTCAGTTTTTACAAGATAACAAGCTGATGTTTGTTTTACAAACAAATTAGTACACAGACAGTGACACGAACAGTTAGTGCTGGGCTTTCCTATTGTTTATTCAGAAGAGAAAGTCCAGCACTGACTACTGCTTGCTTGGCAATGTGTGTGCAAGTGAATAAGGCACTGCTTCAGCTAGGTACGAAGGGGGGCTTGTAGTAATTCAACAGCTGAACTTAATTTGATCTTTACAAAAACAAAATATATATAGTGCATATATATACCCCAGCGCCCAAATACACAAACTCCGTGATTATGCAGCTGTGCAACAGTGAAAAACACCAATCAATAACATCAAAATAACAGCGCAAGATCAAGATCTCCAAATAAATATATTATAAGTGCATAAATACAAAATCAAATGTCCAAGTGAAAAAAGTCCTTATTTTCATTGAATTTCAGTGTATAACTTATTCAACATATGCTGCCACCTTCCACCACGTGCAAAATAATATCAGCCGCACTCACCAGATGCAGGTGAGTAATGTGCCTTCTAGGATATAAGGGATCCTAAGCCCTCTAGGTAAGATCAAAACTTCTTATTCACCATTAATGGGGATAAAACGGCTCCACTTTATTCCTCCATGAATTCCTCAATATTGCAGAGAAAAAAGAAACCACATAGTGTAATACTGCCAAATACTCATAAATAAAAGAATAAACTCAGGCCACTCACATGGTCAAATATAATAAAAAAGCCTGGTTTAATCGCCTGTATGGCTTAATAGCATCCAGGTTCCACAATCAGAAAGATACGTAAGGATGTCGCGCTTCAGTTGGATAGCCGAGGATGATCAGCCTTCCCCCTCTAACGATGGCCGCTTGGAACGCACTTGGCTTGCGTTCCAAACACCGGAAGTGGCGTAGACCCAAATGACGGCGGACCGGAAGTACGTCAACGCGTTTCGCCCCTCCCACAGGGCGTTCTCTTTGATCGTTGATCTTTGCATTGGTTCAGGTCTGTTTCATGACCGCTTCTGTTATGCTTTAGAGATGGCCTTTAAATTCACTTGCCAACAGATGGCTAAGTTCACCTTTGGAACATGGTATATGTTCAACCCATATTTAGGGTGGAACGTGTAACAAGTCCCAGCTCCTACCTCCTCTCCCTCTGATTCCCCCCTCACTGAGACAGCAGGCGGGGGGATCTTCTCCCTGCACCCGCTGTCAGTTTAAAAATGCGTAGCTTCATCCATACATCCGCTTCATTCACAGAGCTCTGTAAATGAATGACCTACAACTACTGTTGGCCACCGCGTCCAATGGCTTTTAGCTCTCAATGAGCTGTGAGGGTGCTGGTGAGCACTCTCGTAGTTCAGTGATTCTTCCTGCCATTCAGTAACTGTCTGCTTGTATGAGGTACAGGCGACAGTGTACTGAGAGTCTTCAGGAGCCTGGTATTGCACTCTCAATCTGCTCATTGTGGGTGCAATGCTTTACAGACTCCATTTTTTTTTTATTTAAATGCACATTTTTTTTTTTTCTAAATTTTTTTTTTTTTTTTTTTTTTAACCTGCAGAAAATATGTACATTTTTTATTTTTTTTATAACTTATCCTTTAAAATATGAAATTTGAAATGTCAATATCTGTGGTAAGAGTGTTTGGCTGTGCATCAATTTTGTCAAGAGTCTCCAGCAACACGGAGCACTTTGCGTTTTTTTTTTTGATGGGATGGAGGAGGTGCTGTGGGAAGGTAAACTGACTTTAGGCATGTTGTGACCCCGTTATAGAAGATTAATCAATTTTTGTATTTTACAGTTTTTTTTTTTTGTCCCATGTTTCGAAGTACTATCTAACCCTAGGTATGGGGTCCAACTTGCCCTTCTTCCCTGTTGCCATGAAAAAGATAGCAGATTCCTACCTGCAGCTTGTCTCAGCTGTGAGCACTTTCCAAGGCAAGCAATAGCAGGTGGAATACAGAGAGAGGGAGAACTTGTCAGTCTGTCATGGAAGCTACAGGTTTTTCTAGAGAATGATTTACTGCTGTATTGTGAATAGCCCCAATATCCTATAAGTTTAAATCACCTTCAGGTATAGTCACAATACATGCAGAGCTAAATTATTCTGACAGCACACCACCTTTTTATGGATCCTCTGGATTAGTCAGATGTACACAGGCAACAAGCATGCAAGCAGTAATCAAATTATTTCGTAGAAATGCAGCATGCTCTGCAAACTGAATGTCATAGATGTACAAATAATGATTACATTAAAGAGAAAAAATGAATACAATTATTTATAAACACTGGTTTAAAAAAAACATGTACGCTTAAAGGAAGAAACCTAATCTGTTGAACAAGAACCTTTTCTATCTTCCTATAATAGCTTGGTTCCTCTAAAGATCTTCCTGGCAAGGCTTCAAAGAATGTTGACTCTGAATATTTTGTAATGGATTTATGGGACATGGTGACCTCCAATGACCCCAGGCAAGCTGCATATGGTGAAGGCCATTGCTCCTTTTACCTATCAGAATGTCTACAATGATTGTAGTTTTGCCTGACAATGTCTGCTGGAGTTGAACTTGCAGGGAGGCAACGTCTTGTTCTAAATTTGACAGTCTGGATTCTATTGTGGACTAGTAACCTCCAATGCTTCAGCTGTTCTGTCTAAATGTGGACAATGCTAAATATTACCATGGGCATTTCCCAGCTGGTGAAAGATGGAAATTACTAACTTATGTTGGCTTTTTACAGAGTATATTTCTATTTAGAGGTCAGCAGTGTTATTCTCCAGCTGAGATTCTTAAACGGCAATTCCAGGCAACAAATGAAACCAATTAGGGATCTACTATTGCTGTCCAGCAAACTCTGCAGCTGTTCTGAAGGCATCTCATTCACTTAAGTGATCTTTGTTTGCACTAATCCTTTCAGCCACAGGACTCCGAGCACTTTGCTAGGTCCTTGGTAGGGTTCTTCCTTAAGCCTGTGCTTTGTAATGTCCTATTCATATGCTTCTTGTATGACCGGTCACAATCCAATATCTGAGGAAGGTTTGAAAGATGGCAGGGAGCCTGCACTGGGTGCGTTTTGGTAATTTTCCTGAATCACAATTGGAATGTTCAAGTTACTGATAAGAGACCACTCCAAAATACTTGGTGTCAGCTGCTGTCGGAGCTCGGAGAGCAGTGATGTTATCCCCACCATTGTGTGGCAAAGCTCATACCTAACAATAGATTTGAATAATGGTTGAAGGGGGGATGACGTACTCCCCCATACATGGGAAAATCGGGTATTTTGCAGTAGCAGTCACAGAAGGAAAAATGACAGGGGGCTCGCTGGCGAGGTGACTATAAAGGGGTGTGGCTGGTCAAGGTGACGGGGTCTATTTAAATACTGAGCAAGTGTGCTGCTTTCCCTTAATGCTTCAAAATTTTAGCTTTTACTGGAGATTAAATCCTTTCTCCACATGTATTTTTACAAACCAGATGCTGCATATGGCAGACCCTAATTATACAATGTATAATAATCCAATACAGTTGTAAGGGAGCATTAAGGAACCACAAGAAGCTGGGGGTACTGGATTGTGACTGGATAGTAAATATTGTGCGATATAACCAGAAAACTGAGCTTCGTGACCATAAAGAAATTTGGCCAGCTGCACTGCATAGATACCAGAATGCAACAACAAATATTAACTGGATACAAAATTAGTTGTGCTGTCCTTTAAAATTCTATTAGGTGGCACAATCTCTTTAGATATATTAAAAGGATCCATATATACATATACTTTCATAGTTAACAATACAACCGTGCATCAAATTATATAGAGTGCAATAAAAAAGTCCACATATCATGGGAATAAGACGTGATAACACTCCACACATGATGTGTCCAAATAGTGTTCCATCAACTGATTGCACATCAGCTCCTTACCGGATTCAAACAATCTCCCAAACATGAGGTCCTGAGCTTTTGATAGAAAAAGAGACTATGCCTCAAGGATGTCCCCTGGCCCTTAAAGTTCCTCCACAGAGATCCAGCCTGAATTCAAATATTGTATGGACAATTCTAGGCATGTAAGAGGAAATAAATAAATTGGATAGTGTGATGCTATTAAAATCAACAGTTTATTAAAAGCAAAGAAAGGGTATTTGCAAACAGCATAGCCGCACACAGCCACAGCCGGTGTGCGTAATGATGTCACTATCTAGATCCGCTTTAGATCCGCTTTAATGCATTCTGTCACACAGGATATCTTCAGGGGACTCTGCAGCTGCTGAGTTCTGTTCACCATCTGTGACAACCGTCCATTTTTAGCACTCTTCTAAATTGGGACAAATCGAGTTTTATATTTGACGTAACTTGGCAGCGACTTTGAATGACGTGTCTCAAAGCTAAGAAAATTCTCCTTTCTACAGATGATGCATTTATCAACCCGCAGCTGCAGAAAGTATTTGAGAGGGTTCGACAAAGCGCAGATTTCATGCCCATCAAACAAGTTATGGTGAGTGCATCCGGTCTTTTAAGAGTTGATTTTTATCCACAATCTGGTTGCCAGAATTTGCAAAGTCCCAGGTGTCAGCCAATTTAAGTAAAATATACCTGACTTTACATGATCTTTTTTAATTGAGATTACTGGATGAAAAGGTATAGTTGCTAATTCCGTTAACTGCAAATTGTCTAATATTCAACAGAAAACCCTAAATGCCGACCTGGGACCCAACTGGAGAGACGGGCTTGAGTTTTTTGAAGACCGCCCATTTGCTGCAGCTTCCATAGGACAGGTTCACCTAGCTCGTCTGAAGGATGGTAGAGAGGTTGCTATGAAAATCCAGGTTGGTTAGCAAAATGTATAATGAAGGGAGTCTGCGGGTATTGAAGTGTATGTATGGAGTAGGGAAGAGTTAAAACCCCTGTCAGTTTTTTTTTTTTTTTCTTCGGTCTTTATTTCATTGGGGAGACTTGCACTGTCCTAGAAATGAAACGGGAAGTGAAAGGAAATTTTTCCAAAGCGATCTGTTTCTTTGTGTACCTTCTTTTGTGGTTTGTGTAGTCTGTGGTTACTGTATATATGCCCAGGGGCTCAGTCATATTTGTTTCTTTATATACAGCATGCAGGCATTCATTGTTCTCTGTCCCATTTAATGGTGTTTGTTCTCACTTCCTGCCCTGTTGACCAAACGTGAAACACATGCTTTCCTGCCCTTTAGAGTGGATCTCAGATATTGCAGGCTCTTATCTCTATATTCCCATCCTGGCTTGTACAGACATGTCATGCTTTGCATCCTTCTCCAGACCAGGGTAGTCTTAAATTGTAATCGTAAAAAAAAAAAAAAAAAAGAGGGCACACCAGCCTAGTAAATTATTTTCCCAGAGGGCTCAGAGGAAGAGGATTCGATCCTTGAAACATGTTAGTCCTGTTGGACTTTGTTCCTATGTGTTGTGATGTATCTAGAGCACGGGTTTCAAACTGGTGGCCCTCCAGCTGTTTTGAAAACTACAAGTCCCATGAGGCATTGGAAGATTGACAGTTGCAAGCATGACTCCCAAAGGCAGAGGCATGATGGAACTTGTAGTTTCGCAACATCTGGAGGGCTGCCAGTTTGACACCCCTGATCTAGAGTCTAAAGCTGCATCTATTCTGACAAGCTGTTACTGACGTTGGTTTGTGATTATATCACCTATCATTGGATTTTATTATTAAGATACCTGAAGATAATGCTCTAGGCTGGTTTGCCCTCTGTTTGTTTTCTTTATGATTACAGGAAATGAGGTTAGTCTCCTCAAACCAGGTCACATCTATAAAAACATGGAAGAGATTCTAACCCTTCTCTGCTCTATACAAAACTAGGAAAAAAGAGGAGACCAAGGGAAAGAGATCCCTTGATTCAAGGGGTCCTAATGAGGATAGACCGCGGCTTGTATGAAAAAAACAATTCATCCATTTATTGCAGAATCAACATGGCAAACATATTAAAACCATACAAAATTAGACCTCACCACCACCAACAGAGAATAGTGAAGGATGGAGATGACGTGGTCATCCAAGGTGACACCACACGCTGAGAAGTCCCGGCACCTCAGTTGGAGTACTATGCCATAGGGGATCATGCACTATGAAGATAGTAGAAGAGCCAAAAATGAATATTATCTATAGGACAATATTAGTCATTCATAATATAGCATATATGAGGATAAACAATAATTCTACAATCTGCATATACTCTCATATAGAGAACTATCCTTATTGCAAGGAATAGACAGCGACTCAAAATTATACTGATTTGAGGAGAGGCAGGGGTGTATGTTGGGAAAAAGTCCCGTAGAAGCAGGAAATTCATAAATGAACAGGTTCCTTCCTGTATATGGAAATGCAATGACACACAATTATTTCTACTTGTAGTAGTGACATAGACCATAGGCTCTCCCTTGAATGGCTGGATACAGAGGATAATGTCAGCACAGTCCCCCACATAGCAGAGCCCAGTAATGGATGTACTATGGGTATATTTAATAATTGTAAGTGCGGCAATAAATGCATTATAAACTGATAGACTTGAACCAATGAATGGATATCACATGCTTCCAGCTGAATTAATCAGATAGTAGTAAATATTCACTATTTGTAGCCAATAATTTAGCCGTATAGTAGATTATATGAAGTTTAATGGTCTCACCACATCCTGCCCAAGCAAATCTTGAAAATGCCATCCCACATCTATTACCAAAGGTGTAATGGTTTATTATTGCTGCTTGCTGGGTATCCCAGAATAATAGAGCACATGCATATTAGGATATAGATTGACTGGTTGTCTATCAGTTTATATTGCATTTATTGCCGCACTTGCAATTATCAAATATACCCATAGTACATCCATTACTGGGCTCTGCTATGTGGGGGACTGTGCTATCCTCTGTATCCAGCCATTCAAGGGAGAGCCTATGGTCTATGTCACTACTAGAAGTAGACATAATTGTGTGTCATTGCATTTCCATATACAGGAAGGAACCTGTTCATTTATGAATTTCCTGCTTCTACAGGACTTTTTTCCAACATACACCCCTGCCTCTCCTCAAATCAGTATAATTTTTAGTCGCTGTCTATTCCTTGCAATAAGGATAGTTCTCTATATGAGAGTATATGCAGATTGTAGAATTATTGTTTATCCTCATAGATGCTACAGTCAGGTCCATAAATATTGGGACATGGACACAATTCTAACATTTTTGGCTCTATACACCACCACAATAGATTTAAAATGAAACAAACAAGATGTGCTTTAACTGCAGACTGCCAGCTTTAATTTGAGGGTACTTACAACCAAATCAGGTGAACGGTGTAGGAATGACAACAGTTTGCATATGTGCCTCCCACTTGTTAAGGGACCAAAAGTAATGGGACAGAATAATAATCATAAATCAAACTTTCACTTTTTAATACTTGGTTGCAAATCCTTTGCAGTGAATTACAGCCTGAAGTGTGGAACGCATAGACATCACCAGACGCTGGGTTTCATCCCTGGTGATGCTCTGCCAGGCCTCTACTGCAACTGTCTTCAGTTCCTGCTTGTTCTTGGGGCATTTTCCCTTCAGTTTTGTCTTCAGCAAGTGAAATGCATGCTCAATCGGATTCAGGTCAGGTGATTGACTTGGCCATTGCATAACATTCCACTTCTTTCCCTTAAACTCTTTGGTTGCTTTTGCAGTATGCTTTGGGTCATTGTCCATCTGCACTGTGAAGCGTCCAATGAGTTCTGAAGCATTTGGCTGAATATGAGCAGATAATATTGCCCGAAACACTTCAGAATTCATCGTGCTGTTTTTGTCAGCAGTCACATCATCAATAAATACAAGAGAACCAGTTCCATTGGCAGCCATACATGCCCACGCCATGACACTACCACCACCATGCTTCACTGATGAGGTGGTATGCTTAGGATCATGAGCAGTTCCTTTCCTTGTCCATACTCTTCTCTTCCCATCACTCTGGTACAAGTTGATCTTGGTCTCATCTGTCCATAGGATGTTGTTCCAGAACTGTGAAGGCTTTTTTAGATGTCATTTGGAAAACTCTAATCTGGCCTTCCTGTTTTTGAGGCTCACCAATGGTTTCCATCTTGTGGTGAACCCTCTGTATTCACTCTGGTGAAGTCTTCTCTTGATTGTTGACTTTGACACACATACACCTACCTCCTGGAGAGTGTTCTTGATCTGGCCAACTGTTGTGAAGGGTGTTTTCTCTTCACCAGGGAAAGAATTCTTCGGTCTTCCACCACAGTTGTTTTCCGTGGTCTTCGGGTCTTTTGGTGTTGCTGAGCTCACCGGTGCGTTCCTTCTTTTTAAGAATGTTCCAAACAGTTGTTTTGGCCACGCCTAATGTTTTTGCTATCTCTCTGATGGGTTTGTTTCGTTTTTTCAGCCTAATGATGGCTTGCTTCACTGATAGTGACAGCTCTTTGGATCTCATCTTGAGAGTTGACAGCAACAGATTCCAAATGGAAATAGCACACTTGAAATGAACTCTGGACCTTTTATCTGCTCATTGTAATTGGGATAATGAGGGAATAACACACACCTGGCCATGGAACAGCTGAGAAGCCAATTGTCCCATTACTTTTGGTCCCTTAACAAGTGGGAGGCACATATGCAAACTGTTATAATTCCTACACCGTTCACCTGATTTGGATGTAAATACCCTCAAATTAAAGCTGACAGTCTGCAGTTAAAGCACATCTTGTTCGTTTCATTTCAAATCCATTGTGGTGGTGTATAGAGCCAAAAATGTTAGAATTGTGTCCATGTCCCAATATTTGTGGACCTGACTGTATATTATGAATGACTAATGTTGTCCTATATATAATCATTTTTGGCTCTTCTACTATCTTCACTTCTATCTACATAGTGCATGATCCCCTATGGCATAGTACTCCAACTGAGGTGCCCGGACTTCTCCGCGTGTGGTGTCACCTTGGATGACCACGTTATTTCCATCCTTCACTATTCTCTGTTGGTGGTGGTGAGGTCTAATTTTGTATGGTTTTAATGTTTGCTATGTTGATTCTGCAATAAATGGATGAATTGTTTTTTCATACAAGCTGCGGTCTGTCCTCATTAGGACCCCTTGGATCAAAGGATCTCTTTCCCTTTGGTCTTTCTTTTTCCTATATCCTAGTTTGTTCCGAGGACACCACAGTGTGATTTTTTTTTTTTTTTTTTTTTTTTTTTTTTTTTTCGTCACATGTGAGTTGGCAATTAGTATTTTGTAGTATTAGGGGTTATTCTGATTTGAAATCCCCTTGGTTACAATTCACCAAATACACAGTTAAGGGCATCCCGTTGTTTTTTTTTTTTTTTTTATCATTTTTTGTTATCTATACAAAACTAACCCGTTTTTTTTTTTTTTGCCCTTGATTGTCTGTCTTGTCTGCAATAATAAAACTGTTACTGTGGGCTTTTCACTGTCAAGGTTTTTTCTTTCTTTTTTTGCTATTCTGTAACTGTTAATATCTCTGAACTCTGGAGTTTGTATCAATAATAAACTTCTTTTTTTTTAAATCCTGTTCAGTATCCCGGAGTGGCTCAGAGCATCCACAGTGACGTGAACAACCTGATGACGGTTCTCCACATGAGCAACGCACTTCCTGAAGGTAAAGGGACTGTGTTGGTCTGTTACGTGCCATATGTCAGAACAGGTACTGGGCTCTTCCTGCACCACCCAGTCCCCTGACTCCTCAATCTAGATCAGTGACATAACTATTGGTCCCTCCGCTCATACCACGGTGCTAGGTGTCTGACCTGTCCATTCTGCCTCAGATCCAATCACTTGCCAAATATTTCCGCATTATCTTCATAACATTTTCAAAATTACCCCACCAACCAGCTAATTCACTTGCTCAATATTGCTTGACTTGCCTATTGTAACTCTTACCTTTTACAAAGTCTATCATGAATGCTGCAGCCAAAATCATTCATCTTACCAGTTGCTCAGCGTCTGCCAAACCTCTGCCAATCCATCCTCTGGCTTTTGCTTGCCCAATTTAATAAAATTCAAAATATGAACAACATGCAAAGCAGTCCACAGTTCTGCCCTTGGTTCTATCATCAACCCCTTCTTAAAATATTGCCCAAACTATCCTCTTTGCTCTCAATCCCTCCTGCTCTCTAGCTCCTGCATTACCTCCTGCCATGCCTGCCTATTGGACTTCTGCAGAGCCTCTCCATCATCAGGAACTCCCTGCCCAAGTCTGTCTGACTATTTCATACTCATTCTACCGTTTAGGCAATCCATAAAAACTCATGTCTTTGGAGAACCCTACCACACCTTTTAGATAAAATCTAAAAAGGAAGATGAAAGTGATACAGACGGTTAATAACTGTGTGGGGATGAGCTGATGGAGAAAGCAAAAGTTCAGATTTTAAGCTCCCACAGCAGGGCCCTTCTAACCCTCATCTTCATATGTTTTGTAATGGTGTTGTCTCCCTTTTTATGTTGTAAAGCTGCACAGACTTATCACTGTATAAGAAGTGTTGTCCGGTCACCTGTGCTGTTGTACTTCCATGTCCAAAGCCTTCATTACAACACACAGCAGGGAGACTTGAGTGGCAGGGAGGGATAGGAAAGAGGTTGACTTATACAAGCAAGATTTGCCTGCCTCTCAGCCACCTCTAGACCTTCTGATCATTATTATTATTATACAGGATTTATATAGCACCAACAGTTTGCTCAGCGCTTTACAATATAACGGGAGACAATGCAGCAACAATACAAGAGGGTTAGGAGGGCCCTGCTCCTTGGAGCTTACAATCTAAGAATTTTGATATGCATATTTTACTGAAGTTAACCTTTGCTTGCACACTTTTTTTAAATCGTTAAGTAGGGTGATTTGAATTGCTCAGATTATTGACAGGTTTGCTTTGCTGACACTGTCATGGGGAACTAAAAAAAAAAACAGCTGATCCTAGTATTGGGTGCAGGCACATTCATGAAATGTTTGCAAAAGCCTCCCAAACCTTCCTTTCGTGGCCGGATTCCAAGTTGTTTGGACATTAAAGAAGGTGCAGAACGTATGCCAAACTTCTCTTGCCCCTTCCTGCCTCCAGTACATTCCAAGTGGCCAATGAGACTATCCAACATAGTGATAGACCAGTAGGAATGTGTGGGAATGTTATCAGCCAGCTCTGGCACTGCCCAACAGCATCAATGCTTTTGTTCTTAGTAGTCCAGGATCTGCCCATAGCAAGAGACTTTTTAAGTTTATGCACAGTCATGTGCCTTTCTAGCTGTTAGACATGAAGAAGCTTTTTTTTTTTTTTTTTTTTTTTTTTTTTTTTAAGCGCAAAAAATAAAAAACTTCACAATATATCAAATACCACTGAAATAGTTCAATTCATGGAGAAAAAAAAGACGTAAATTTAATTTGGGTGCTGCGTTGCATGACTGCACAATTGTCAGTTAAAGTAACGCAGCGTCGTAACACAAAAATGGCCTGGTCAGGAAGGGGGGGTAAATAAATCCTCAGGTGGGCAAGTGATTAAATTGGTAACATTGTTCAGGTATAATTTGCAGTAGGTTGGCATGGATAGTATTCGAATATAATATAGAAGAAAATATCTATAACTGCCTCTCTAGCAAAGTGACGGTCTTGTGTTTCCTAGGACTGTTTCCTGACCATCTGATCGAAGTCCTGAGCAGAGAGCTGGCTCTGGAGTGTGATTACAAGAGGGAGGCAGCCTGTGCCAAGAAGTTCAAGTAGGTCCTCCTGCCATGTCTTTCAGTGACACAAGTGCTTTCATATATGCCATAGTGCTATTTATCAATGTCTAGTTAAGGGTTAGGCCATACTAGTAGTATTGTTTCAGTTGTAGGGGGAGGCCTTCTTTGGGGGATCTGTCAACTCATCCTGTCATAACCTCTGCTCTGTTGTAGCAGGAGAAGTGAAACTCCAAGGCAGGAAAGATGTTATAAGGAGAGTTCTCACATATCCTGTTGAAGTCTCTGTAGTATATAAGCCCTGGCTTATGGCAAGTGTAGAGCTCCTCAAATGTAGAGATCTTACAACAGGAGTCCGCAACCACAAGAAATTTTTCAGGTGTTAGAAATCACCAGTGTATATCGTCCAAATGAACTGTCAGTTTGGAGTGGACTAATCCTGTAAATTTACAGGGGTTGATAATCACAAGCACTCGCCTTTTTATAGGGTCCCTTGAATAAATTCGTTAGTAATATTGTGCGTGTTTTGTGTTATTTTGACCATAAACGTATCGGTCCACAAATGAGCTATTTCAGACATTTAAAGTCTACGTGAATGCAAATAAACCCCAAGCATTCAGTGCAGCATATATCATAGTATTACATAGCTGCAATGTTTCTAATAAAATATTACCAGTAAATACCTTGTTGGTTGGCTTTTATAAAGTGGTCACATGATCACTATCCAGTCTAGATTCCAGGGCTGGTGAGGGTGGAGGGCAGAGACTTGTTAGGACAATTGGCAGCCAGCCTCTAATGGCATCTCTTCAGCATCTTTTACACCATGGAAACAGCATGTAAACAGCATGGAAGGGGGGCATGTTTACAGCTACAGGACTCAGCCTTCCTGCTGTGGATTCGGCAAACTGACCACTCTAGGACGAATCCGCTTCTGTGCTTGGCCTGGTCTGAATCTTATAGGAATAGAGGGGGCACTTGCTGCAGCACCATGTATCTTACAGTAACATGATTGAGATAGATAGATATATGATTGAATATATATATATATATATTCATATCATCAATCATGTCAAGCCACTTCTACACATCAGGAAGATAGCCTGGTATTTATATTCACAAAGATATCAGACACCTTAATCCAATCACCATGGAATGTGTCGAGGCAGATGATTATCCAAGAACAGGACCTTCAACGCCATCTATGTTCAACATGTAATGTCCTCTTATCTCTACCCTTGCAATTTGACAGTTCACACCTTTTAGCCATGTAAATTGAAGCTTTGAACACCTGTGCAGATTTTCTGTCACTGAGGAATGGGATTGTGTAGTTTGAACAGGGTGTTTCCACAGACCTTTTACACTTTCCATCCTGTTCTGACGATCTGCTGGCTTGACACATTCCATAGCAATGGTATTCTGGTGCCTGTGCTATATCTGTGTTGATATAAATGTTGGGGTATGTTTAGGACACTTTTTAGAATTAAAAGGCGATCACCAACGATCTTTACATTTCAGTAATAAGTTCAATTGACTTTGACAAACTACTAGCTTTAGCTTAAAAGATTATATTGATTGATCAGTCTTATAATGTATGTATCAAAACTGTCTTCAGAGTATGGAAAAGTTAAATCCCCTGTAGGTTTGTTTTAGCTGTCTGAAATGTCTTTAGAACAGTAGATGAAGTAACATCTTCCCAACAGTACACAAAGTGAGGAGAAATCTCACCAAAGGAAAGGGAAATCTCCTTTTGTATAGTTGTCACTAGGACAAGTGGTGCAAATTGAACATTTTATTCACTCTGTTCTGGTAACAGCTCAAAAGTTTGGGATTTCCTATCACCTACTGTCTCAGGACAGTGTGAATTTCCCAAGTGAGAACAGCGATACAGTCCAGACAGGTTCTAATTCCACCTTCCTGGAAAATATTGGGCTAGTGGTAAAGTGTATGTTAACCTGAGTGATGAAATACTACTTTTATTACTACTACTTTCTAGCTCCCTGGTCTCCTCCTCCCACGCCCGACTGCAGGACTTCTCCAGGACTTCCCCCACCCTCTGGCACTCACAACCCCAATCCATCAGACTGTCACCTACCCCTCCTCACCTTTAGGCGCACCCTGAAAACCCATCTCTTCAGGGAAGCCTACCCCACCCTCACTTAACAGCCGATCTCCTCCACTCCTCCTACCACTCCATCTCCCACAGCCACTCCTCCTGTACCACTATCCCCTCCCTCCTAGATTCTAAGCTCGAAAGAGCAGGGCCCTTGTACCCCTTGTGTATTGTATTGTTACTGTATTGTCTCATGTACTGTCCCCCCACTTTGATGTACAGCGCTGAGCAAACCTTTTGGTGCTATATAAATACTGTGTAATATTAATTTGGTCTTTTTTGGCTTTGTAAATATACCATTAAAAGGGTCTTTATCTGTTCAAGTAGTGCAAAAATATACCAGTTTTCCAGACAGCCATCCATTCATCCATTCTTCCTCCCAAGAATGAGCCCACTGCTTGTATCAGGGCTGGGAGCTCTTTCATTCTAATAGATTTTTATTGCGTTTTCCAGGAGTTTTACAAGAAATGGTGCCAATATAGTCAATAAGCGTACAATTGAAGCATATACAACAAATATAGAGCAGCAAAATGTTATTCTAAAGTGGACAAAGGAACAGTATGCTTAAAGGCACATTTACGGAGCTCCACCAATCATGATACAAAATTGTTTACAAATAAGAAGGGTCAGGGCCAGGAAAACCAAGGCTATTGAAACAGGAGAAACTAAGATGTTGTCCGCTCTAGGAAGTTAAAGGTCTAAACGTACAACATTCACTAAAAGGAAGCACATTCTATCCAATGTTCTCAAATCTTCAGTGATGTCAAGATGGTCACCAGCCCATCCGCAGGCTCTAAATCTTACTATGAATAAAACAATTACCCTTCTGACATTGCAGGTGTATGCCAAGTAGGCATCAAGAACGGCATAGAACAAAAGGAGGGAAACAAGTGAGAGAAAGATGAGGCAAGGCATAGACGAGTCGAAAACCAAACGGTCTGGCTATTGAAAAATGAAAATGGCGCATACAATTGTGTCATCATTTTTTGTTTTTTGAAACAAAATCCAGCATGCTGGATCAGGCATTATCCATTGCAATTTGAAAATTGTGTATCACAGGTGGCAGATTAGTGATGCAAAAAACGAACGATCAAGAATTTTTAAATTTCAGTCTATGGCCTACCTAAGACAGAAAACCTTGTCGTCGTCGTCCCCCCCCCCCCCCCCCCACCTGCACTGCCACCAGCTAGCGCCTACTCAGAGGGAGCTTGTATGTAGAAAAGCCACGGATCCCGAACCCTTTTAAATTTATGTTGTTTGCCTTGGACTATACTGACGTCTCATTTACATGATCCAGGCGAGTTTCCTCTTTGAGAGAAATGTCAACTACTGGGGATTTCCATGCAGTGGTTATAGCTATCTTTGCTGCCAAAAACATGTAGAAAATTAGTGATTGTTTGTTAATGTTTGGGAATCCCATCCATAGGTTCATTTAAAAGAATTTCCTGAGGTCTTTGAAATGTTAACCATAGTTGTAGAAATACAACGTCCAAAATCTCCTATCCTTAAAACAGGTCCATCATGTATGGAGCAATTAGGGCTGAGAGTTCTTGAAAGAAGTACAGGGTGGCAGGGTGCTGTGAGGTTTTCAGGAAGCTATATACAACACTCTGCCGGCCCCTCCCACCAGCCATGATCTGATCTGCTTGCTGTGTATAGTGAAACAGAGACCCAGTGACGATGTCACTGGGTTATAAATAGAGTATGTAATAACAGGACTTATTTAAATGTTTTATTAGCACGCTGATGATGAGGATCCAGGAAAGGTAAAATATAATCAGATTAACCTTCAGGTTAAAGTAGTTTAGCAAATGACAGCTGGGCAAGGTTAGCACCCATTAAAGTGACAGCTGGGCAAGGTTAGCACCCATTAAAGTGGTAGTAAAGTCTCTTTTTTACAATATAAAATAATGGGGCCCCTGCAGGTTTAAGCCATAATGTACTGGTATGCACTGCATACTAGTATCTTATGAAAGACTTGCCTACAGATGAAGCCATCCAGTGCTGAGCTGTCACTGCTCTCTGGTCCACATCGCTTCATGTTAACCTGGTCTTCTTGCCGGGTTCCAAATCTTCAACCATTGAGTGGCCATGCTGCAGTAATGTCACTCCTGTGCAATGCTCATGGGAGTCACTTCTTTGGGCAAACCGAGCTGAATACAAATGCACACCACACTTTTGAGATATTTATTTGTAAAAAATGTTGAAAACCATTTATTTTCCTTCCACTTCACAATTATGTGCCACTTTGTGTTCGTCTGTCACATAAAATCTCAATAAAATACATTTACGTTTTTGGTTTTAACATGACAAAATGTGGAAACTTTTCAAGGGGTGTGAATACTTTTTCAAAGCACTGTAAAATGATTTCCCCTGGTCTGACATGAGGTATGTATATATCTGATCTGATGTCTTTTTCTGGCACAGGGAGCTGCTGAAGGACCATCCGTTCTTTTATGTGCCCGGTGTTATAGATGATCTGTGCAGCCAGCATGTCCTTACTACTGAACTGGTGTCCGGTTTCCCTCTCGACCAGGCTGATGGCCTCAGCCAGGAAACTCGTAATGAGGTAACGTACTTTTAATGGGAGCTCTGAGGACACTCAAAGAAAAGTATTTCCAGGACATATCAAGGGTGCATTGTTTCTCCTGATAAATAATTGATTGGGCTTGAATTAGTTTCATATTAGAAGTAAAAGTGGGGTCTTCTGGACCAGTGAGCTGGCACTGTGGAAGATGCAGATAAAGGTGGCTGAAGTTTTTGTGTGGAGCGATTTTAAAGCCGGGCTCCAGGCAGATGTAAGACTGTTTTCAGTAGAACTATGGCCTCTTATTTAAAAAAAAAAAAAAAAAGTGCGTTTTACTGTACTTAATTATAAGTGCATCTACACTTTGTGGGACTTTGAAAGGGGATTCGAGACAACTAACGCCTGGTACTCATGCCAGTGAAGTCCACCTAATGCAGCTTCTTGTGATGTGGCAATGTTGCGGCACTGCTCCTGAATTCAGAGCAGAGTTGTCATGATCATTGCACTAGAGTGGGATGAGAAAATGTTTTAGGGAGCTTGACTGTCGGCATTGTCACTGCTGAGTCACAAGTCTGTAGCCTGTCTGTCACCTGGCCTCACCTAGTCCTGCCAACCGTTTTCTGGATCAACAATACTGCCTCTGGTTTATGAAACTTTTTCCCACTTTTGTGCTGCAGTGTCTGCAAGGGTGAGCATGTGAGAATGATTTTGCTCATCCGGGAAGGTGTGTGTGTGTGTGTGTGTGTGTTTGTGATACAGTAGGGCAAGGTAAAAACTTCTGTCACTTCATTTTATATTTTCTTGTAAGGTTGCCACATTACGTTGTCTTTGTCCTCTCTTTAGTCCTCAATACCACTTGAAAAATATGTAGAAGGAACCAGAGCTCAATCTTTTGATTGACTGAGCTGCGAACTCCCACACATGCACACGCGTGAGCCCCAGACACAGCACAGAGCTTAGAAGGAATGGAAGGTTCCTTCAGAGCGTATGCGTCGGTATTGTCACCCGCTGCTGCCCTGTAGAATATCTCCTAAACCGTGTACGTTCAGGAGATATTCATTTTACCGACAGGTAAGTTTTATTATAAGTTGAATAGTGGACTTTACTACAGCTTAATCCTTGCTCCCCACTTGGCCCCTAGGTCTTAACCACTTCCCGTGCGGCCCATGTATATAAACGGCCAGACAGGAGCAGTGCAGGAGTGGGTTGCTGTTCATAAACTGCGCCCGTATTTCCAGCTTGTGCGCGCTCCCTGGGAGCACATGGCACCGCGAACCGGTGCCCGCTGTGTCCGAACATCGATTGCTGTACAGGACCTCTGTTTTGAGGTCCCGATCATGTGATCACTGATTGGCCAATCAGTGATCACATGAATAGCAGTAAGCAAGATGTCACTTCTGACATCATTGCTTTCTGCTTGTGAAACCTGTGAATGATCACAGAGATCACATGGTACAAGGCTATTCACAAGAGCCTTGTACCATGTGACAAGCTGTGACCAATCACAGCTCTCAAAGTGTTTCTCAATGGCTGCAAGAATGCAGGAAGAGAGAAGGAGAAATGTATTGCTTTTACAGCCCTTATGAGTGTAAAAGCAATCAGTGTAAAAAAAAAAAAAAAAAAAAATCTTTACCCCCCCCCCCCCCCCCCCCCCCCAACAAGTAGTACAGTGTCACTATGGTGACACTGTACTGCTAGGGTGACAGTATGTTTAAAAAAAAAAAAAAATTAAAAATGTAAAAAAAATTATATTTTTTTGGTTATATACTAATTTGGGCTATTTTTATTTTGCTAAAAGATAGCTGAATACATTTTGGCCAAGATTTATGAAGAAAGATTATATAGTTGCAAAATTGTGTAAGAAAAACACTTTTTTTCAAAATTGTTGGACTTTTTCATTTATATAGCAAAAAAAGTAAAAATCCCAGTGGTGAATAAATACCGCCAAAATAACGTTTTATCTGTCTCAAAAAAGCGAAAAAAATTCATATGGGTACAGTGTTGCATGACTGCGCAATTTTCATTCAAAGTGTGATAGCACTGAAAGCTGAAAATTTGGCCTGGATAGAAAGGGGGTTGAAGTGGTTAAATATACTGGCCCTGTGAACATATTAAGATTGTAATTACCCCAGTATGACTTAAATGTAACCCCACGTTGTGGTTTAGTATTCTGAACACTACTTGTGTACCTCCTGATGTTAACCATGTCATGCTATTTTACTATTGTTCGTTTTTGTTTTTTTTGTTTTTTTTATAAAGTTGGTTTTAAATAAAATATAGCTCAATCCAGATCATTACACATACTGGTGTCAGTATTTGCTTTTTCAGTAGTTTTGTCCATAACCCTTTGCAGACATGTTATTGCCAGCAGTGTGGAGTTTGTAAACGTGGTACAGGAACAAATATCCTGTTAATAGTTGTTGGTGTTTTTCTTAATTTTTGTTTTTTCCCCCCCTCCTAATGACCTACAAATGGCCGTCAAGGTGCAAACAAGTTCTCGGTGTCTAAAAGTTCCCGTCTTCACTGTTTGTTGACAACACACAGCTGTCACCTTCAGTGACCTTGAGGAGCTAGTTCTGCCTGTGTGCAGGGAACGTGTGCAGTGTGTGATAGATCCTCTCTACAGCTGGTGCCCTGGAAGGCAGCCATGTCCTGCCTATTGGTGGCATAACCTCTCCAAAATAACTCAGCCTGCATCCTGCTATGTGGTGCAGGGGTCCTGGAAAGTTACAGCCTGTAAACAAGGTGAAGATTAGTAAAAGGTTGGAGAATGCCAGGAAATTGTTTGGTGTAGTTACACACCTCAGGTCACGCCGCCAGGGCTTAAAGAACAAAAGCACCCTTTGTGGTTTAATAAAAAAAAAAAAAAAAAAAAAAAAAAAGCAAACTGCTCTTCATTCCTGACCTCCTCCCCCCCCTTTTTTTTTTTTTTTTTTTTCTTTTTTTTCTTTTTAAATCAGCTTGAGATCTTAAAATATTATTTACAGTGGGCTAATGTTGTCCGGTCATGGCACACAGCTATTGCAGCTCTTACAGCAGGAGGGAGTGAGTTTTTGACCAGAACCCATTGGTGCTTAGATGCCCAGGCCCAATTTAACTTGACATTAACTGACTACATTTTTATATCTTTAGGATATATAAACGTTTATATCGTGCTCTTTTTTTAAAAGGCGTGCTGACAAAGCACTAAACATTTTTTCCGTTTTTTTGGTTTAGTGTTTTTATACTCTAAATGTACCTGATAATTACAGTATTAAACAAATGAACACTGCCTTGTTCAGGCTATACCATCTGCAGGTGGGGGCAGAACTATAGTGCACAGTGGAGGCCGCAGGCACCTACCACACCTGGAAATGTTGGTTGCTGATGATTCAGAACTTTGGGTGTAAATTGACATTTATTTCATTAAGACACCAGTAATTGAGCTGAGAGCTTTGAGACATTTAGAAGTCTATTGGTCATTCCAAAGATCACTTTAAATAAATGTAATATGTCCCATAGTTTTTTTTTTTTTTTTTTTTGTTTTTTTTTGTTTTGTTTTGTTTTTTTTTTTATAATTTTAAGGTGGGAGTCAGCCCAATGTATATATTTTGTGTTGCAACTATTTGCCAGGAGTATAGATGCGACCTTCCGGAAAGGTCTGTGTTTACTCCTTCCCATGAAGGTAATAATTGAGCTCACCTGCTATGTAAATAACGCATGAACTGACCATGTCACCTCCCTCCGTCTGCTCACAGATCTGTGACAACATCCTGACTTTATGCCTACGAGAGTTGTTTGAATTCCGCTTCATGCAGACTGATCCAAACTGGTCCAATTTCTTCTATGACCCAGAGCTAAAGAAGGTAAACCATGTCATGTTCAGCCTATGAAGAGAATGCTGGCATTTGTAGTCCCTTCAAGTACAATTCCATTCAAAAGCTTTTATTTTTCTGAGTTTTTAGTTTTTGATAGAGTGATGGGGATCCTTTTTGTGGGTTTTTGTACAGTCTGAGGCCTCACTAGGGAGGTTTCCCCTCATTTCCTGTGCTTGTGAAAGCTTGTCACCTTGAAATAAAATTCCAGCGGGGACACAGGAAGCAATGAAAAGCTGATGGGGATTCTTCCCTTCCACAAAATACAAAAATTACCTGTTTTTTTTTTTTTTGTGTCAATTTTCTCACTAGGGTAGGAATTAAAGTGAAATAATCCCAGCGGGGCCACATAGAGCAGGAAAATTAAATAGAAGGTCTTGGCTAGAGAAGTACTGAAGAACCATTTGCCAAATTAAAATATGTGTTTGCTTTTGTGGCTTATGATAAATCTAAAATAACTATAAACTGTGTGTAAAACCCAACTCCAGATTGGTTCTTACCCCCCCTTTGCATTTTTTTTTAACATACACTTTTTCAAGGAGTCTGTAGCATAACATCATGGGTCTGTCAAATGGTCTCCGCAAAGTTCATTCCTTGACCCCCTTGTACTCTCCTTTCATGTAACCCCTCCTGCTAGTAGTGTGACGGAGATGAGAATAAGTATTTTATTTGTCATTTTATTTATTTTTTTACGTCTTGCAAGGCAGTTTTTTTGTTTTTTTTTGTTTTTGGAAAAGTTGGCATTGGGCTCTTAGTCATAAATGACTGGGCTAAGGGGAATTTTATATTTTTATCCTGAGGTTCCAGCTTAGATGTAGGATGTGATGGTGCTGCAGATGGTTGTTGTTTCTGGGTCTGTGTGGTGTTTAGGGAGGAACAATAAAAGTGAGGAATCTGCAGTGCCAGATGTGGTCTAAACAATACAAACAACATTCCCTTCAAGGCTTTGTAGGGAACGTGAAGCAGTCCCTGTACTTAGTGCTGATGTATCTTGAGCCACTGGGCTGAATATGTTTTATACACTGGCCCAGCTCCGGGGGCAATCTCCAGTCTTCTGAGGTGTTATACACACAGAACACAAAGGGGTTTGTACAACCCAGAACAATTCTATCTGGGCATAGAAATGACTGCTGTTAGTAATTCTGGAAATTTCCATTTTCTCATCTGAATATGTATCCTGTAGGTGGCCCTGCTGGACTTTGGGGCAACACGAGGCTTTGATGAAGAATTCACAGATATTTATATTGAGGTGAGACAAGCCAGAAGTGTCTGAGAAGTGAATTTCTTGTTTGGTCTTTTACCTTTGTCTCCTCACATGACACTTCATATCTTTGGCTTTTCACTTTCCAGGTAATCCGGGCAGCTGCAGACAAAGACAGAGAGAGGCTATTAAAGAAGTCTGTTGAGATGAAATTTCTCACAGGTTATGAATCAAAGGTAAGGATGGGATTCTGGAAAAATTACTGGGTTTTTTTTTTTTTCTTTTTTTTTTGCGAAACTGTTGCAGCCTTATTAGGAAAAAATATAACCATATACTGAATTCTGGCTCCAGAGCAGTGGTGGTCAACTGATTAGATGTCAGGGGGCTGCACTTCAGGTCCACTACATCACTAAAGGGCAGCACGTTATATTTAGTTTATTGCTGCAGAAAACTGGCAAAGACCGTGGACATGCTATAGAACAGGGGTCTCCAAACTGTCCTACTGGCCATGTTTAGTCTCACTTGTGCTGGGACCAGGACATTTTCTACCCCTGCTGGTCCTAATCTGACCCTCCTAAAGTCTAAAGGACAGGATACTGGCCCTTTGTTTGAAACGTTTGGCGACCCCTGCTATAGGAGATGGTCTGAGACCGCGAACATTGGTACTTTTTATTTGGTCGTCAGGCCCCAGCACTCGGAGCCCCAGTTTGGGCACCAGGGCTGAACAAGGCTCTTCTGTAAGTGCAGACTTCATCTTTTCTGAATGACTCCCATGATTCAGTAGGAGCTTTTGCTTCTTTGCTTGGAAGGTATTGATGTATGTACGATTTTTAAAGCTGTCATGTTTTTCCTGCAACATGGAGCTTTTTCTAAAGGTCCGTTCTACCAGGACCAATATTTCCCTTATAGGAAGAGCCCTACTCTGGAATGGAGATCTCTCACAGTAATTCAAGAGACAAGCTGTCAAAGTCCTGGCTCATCTTTCTTGGAATCCTAAACGTTACAACTTCTGTTACATTTTACATAACACTAAAGTTAAGGTGATCTTCACCTTTTGGCCTAAACCAGCATAGCTTCCTTCTACCAATCGTGATCTCCTGCTCAGTTTCTGCTACTCCCTCTCAAACAATGGCATGACAGCCCTGCTCCCCCTCCAACATGGGCTGCTGGGTTTCTGCTGGGAGGGGGAGCTGAGCTGCTTAGTCACTTTCGGTAGTGGTAGCAGGGTGAGCTGAACTACAAGGTCACTGCTAAGAGGTAGAAGGGGGGAGAGCTGAGTGACTGTTGGGAGGGGGGCTGATCTGCTGGGAGTCAGTGCAGGAAGAGCACGGCTGATCCACAAGGAATGGCTTCTGTGCTGAATGCTGAAGATCTTTTGCTCCACAGTGCTTGCTACTACAGACTGTAGTCAGGGTGGGACCTCTTTTTAAAGGCTTAAAGTGGTTCTAAAGTATCAAGGTTTTTTTTTTTTTTTTTTTTTTTTTTTTTTTTTACCTTTTTTAATGCATTCTATTCTCCCCCCCACTCACCCCCTTATTTTTACCTGGGCCCCATCATGATCCAGCGCTGTGCACGAGAGCTGTGGCTCTCCTGGCTTTGTCCCTCCTCCTTGGGCAGATCGATAGCATCAGGAGCCATTTGCTCTTGCTTCTGTCAGTCAACTCCAGCGATTAGGGAATGGGAAGCAGGGCCGAGTTCTGCTGTCTTTGTTAATGGGTGCAGCAGCGGGTCTCTGGAGCGAGCCTGCATGAGTGCCCCATAGGAATCAGCTTCCTATTGGGGGCACCAGCAAGAGAGGAGGAGCCAGGAGTGCTGGCGGGGAACCAGAGAAGAGTAGGATTGGGCCTCTCTGTGCAATTCTATGTTAATTCTTTACAACCACTTTAAATTCTGCTAGTTTAGAATTCTTAAATACTTGAATGTTCATAGCCTAGCCACAGGTTCACTTTAAGTTTTTATGCTTCATGGTAGTTATGGCGCTGAATTGGTCTTGCCAATCCTGATTTGCTATGGAGTCAGAGAAATGTAGGCAGTTTTTGTAGCTCAGGCACTTGGTTACTACTTCCCAAGACCGCTTGAACCAGTTCAGTGAAACATTACAAAACCCAGTCTAACTTTTGGATTGTATTGAACACAACATCAATAATTGCAGATTTAATGGATCACTGTACCTTTAGAAGGGTAGTTTAAAACTCATTTTCCTTCCTTGTGTTCCAGGCTATGGAGAACGCCCACCTGGAAGCAGTCCTGATCCTAGGAGAAGCCTTCGGCTCTGATGTCCCCTTCAACTTTGGCAGTCAGAGCACCACAGAACGAATTCATCGCCTCATCCCCATCATGTTAAAGCACCGTCTCATCCCCCCTCCAGAAGAGACCTATTCCCTCCACAGAAAGATGGGTGGCTCATTCCTTATCTGCTCCAAGCTGAAATCCCAAATCCCTTGCAAGAAGATGTTTGAGGATGCCTACAGCAATTACTGGAAGGGCAAGGAGCACAAGAGATGTTAGAGACTTATGGCCACTACTTGTCTCCCTTGTAAGAATTCCGTCTTCTCTCTCACCGATAACTACATTGGAAACCCAAGCTGGAAGTCCTCTGCTGACTGTGTGCAGACCACCTCGCTTATTGCCAGCTACTCCTGGGTCCCAAATTGACTATTGAGGCTAAGGAGACTATGCCAGTTCTTGTGCTTAGGGGTTTTTTTTTTTTTTTTTTTTTTTTTTTTATTAAGACATTGGAAAAGTTTGAGGATGGTAATTGTGACCTAGTAAATCTGCTGTACAAAAGGAGGTGTGGGATCTTGGGAAAGAAAGGGTTCTCTGCATGAAATTATGGAACATGAGTGTGTGCGGAAGAGTAGAAAGTACAATAGGGAATTATGGACTGTTTTTTGCCTAGAAGTTTAATATAATCTTGCTTTTTTTTCTTTTTTTTTTTTTTCTTTCTTGCTATTAATATGTGGAAATAAATGCTTTTTGTACTGGGGAAATTTGATTTCTCATGAATGGTTGGCCTAATCGCAGTGCATATTGCCTTTAGCCCTCTGTTGCAGAGGTTGAATTTTTTTGGCGTGGAAGAACTGTGAATCGTGTTTCTATTTCATATCATGATTGTATGCACAAGACACCTTATGATGACACCCTGGGTCATATGTCGGGGTGAATAGATAAAGGGCTTCATACATTAAATACTTTTTCTCTAACTGATGCTTCTGAATTGTTCTGTCAATGCTCTGAGGCCACCAGTCTGAATTTAATTTATCTGATCTTGTACGCAGGTTCACACGATGAGAAACTTTCATAAATACTAGCCTATGCCTTCATACTATTATAGGGGTGCTACTTTAAAGAATTTAACTCAAAAAATGATTAGTTTTGGATAGAGTAGGGAAAGGGTTGGAGCTCCTTTTTTAGGTTTTTAATGCAGTCACCTTGACCAGATGTTTGGAGAAATCTCCCTAGGGAGATCTGAGGACACAGACAGCAAGAAAATCCTGACAGAGGTTCAAAATCGGTGATGGTCAACATACCAGATACAGGTGGGGGCTCTGTTCCAGCCCCTGATGTCTCCCAAGGGGCTGCGCATATTTAGTATACGTAACATTACAGAAGAAGACTGTCAATCTGCAGACATACTACAGGTGAGATTGAGGCTGCAGATATATTCTAGAAGAGGGCTAGAGACTGCAGTCATATTACAGGAAATTACCAGAGATGGCACACATTACAGGAGATGGCCTGAGGTTGTGGATGTTTTACAGTAGGTGGTCAGAAGCTGTAGACCTATTACCTGAGATGGCCAGAGACTGCAGTCAGAATTCAGGGAATGGTCAGATATTGTGGGCATATCACGGGAGATGGCCAGGGGCTGCAGACGTATCACGGGAGATGGCCAGGGGCTGCAGACGTATCACGGGAGATGGCCAGGGGCTGCAGACGTATCACGGGAGATGGCCAGGGGCTGCAGACGTATCACGGGAGATGGCCAGGGGCTGCAGACGTATCACGGGAGATGGCCAGGGGCTGCAGACGTATCACGGGAGATGGCCAGGGCTGCAGACGTATCACGGGAGATGGCCAGGGGCTGCAGACGTATCACGGGAGATGGCCAGGGGCTGCAGACGTATCACGGGAGATGGCCTGGGGCTGCAGACGTATCACGGGAGATGGCCAGGGGGGGCTGCAGACGTATCACGGGAGATGGCCAGGGGCTGCAGACGTATCACGGGAGATGGCCAGGGGCTGCAGACTGTATCACGGGAGATGGCCAGGGGCTGCAGACGTATCACGGGAGATGGCCAGGGGCTGCAGACGTATCACGGGAGATGGCCAGGGGCTGCAGACGTATCACGGGAGATGGCCAGGGGCTGCAGACGTATCACGGGAGATGGCCAGGGATCGCAGACCTATTTCAAGAGATTGTGGATGTATTACAGCAGATGGCCAGAGGCTGTCAATATATTACAGGATATGGTCAGAGACTGCAGACGTTATAGAAGTTGGTCAGAGACTACAAAGGTATTACAGGAGATGGCGACTATGCGCATATTACAGGTGATGGCCAATGGCTTTATACGTATTACAGGAGACAGCCAAAGATCACTGTCATTACAGCCCCTTTACAAAGTCAGTGCTCATACTGCTGAGGTGCAAGGGCCACTTGACAAGTACCAAAGATTTTCTACTTCGAACCTGAATAAGAACTAAAGAACCACATACAGTTTGTTTTTTTTTTTTTTTTTTTTTTTTTTACATTATAGGCAACAATAATTGTATCAGTGTGTTAATTTTGGGGGTGGCGGGAAACATATTTCTTGTATTGTTCCTATTTCTGTCTACACATGGGGGGTGGCCATATTTGCCCACTACATACTTGGTGTCTGCTGATTTTAGCACTACACGGTGGTTATTTTTTTGCCCCGTTCCCACTAGGCATATAACACCTGACACAGTGGCAATACTATTCACCCCCACGGACACTGGTGGTCAATGGCAATATTACCCTCACCCCTTGCACTCATGCTCAGTTGCAGAGCTATTTATCCCCCCAACTTCCCAATAAGTAAGTGGCAGTCTGTTTATTCTTCCCCTTCCTCCCTCCTGCACTTGTGTTTTGGTTTTGATTCTCTGCACCAGTGTTATATGCAGATACCTTCAGGTGATTGGACACTGACAAAAAAAAAAAGCTTCTAGGACAACCTCCATATAACCTCTCACTCCCACCTTGTCTCATGATGATTCTTACATCAACATATGCAACTTTTTCTTGCAGCCTCCAGATTGGTTGACTCCCTTCGCAGAGCCCTGGGGGGACTGTAACTGGACCACAATGGATAGCAGTAGCAGGGATCAGCCTGTAGTGTTGCTTGCATGCACTGGATCCTGCTGTGTGGGTGCTTCAATGGTGTGTAGTGCAGTGCATGGAGGTATACTGTACATGGCAAACAAACAAAAACTTTCCCAGCAGACTTGCCATCCTGGAAAATAACCAAATTGACCCTAACAGTTTGTTAAAAAAACAGAGGGTTTTGTTTCAACAAACTTGCAAATATATGCATAAGCTGCAGTGCCCATGACAAGGGACCTCTGGAAATGTTCGTTAGGACTGCAGTGTATACAGAGGTCCCTTGTCATGTGCACTGTGCTTATTCATATATTTGCAAATGTGCGCAAACAAAACCCTCTATTGTTAATGTAAACTGCTAGACCGGGCCAATTTGGTTGTGTTGTAGGCTGTCTGGTAATTGTGCTGGAAAATCTTGTGTTTTGGAATGTGCTTTGCCATTCCATGTACACCTCACTGCAAATGCTAGTTATAGGTTGGGGTGGTTGCCATAGCTTTGTACAGTTGGTTAAATTGGGGTGCAGGGACGCACTGGATGCCTTTGCTGCCATTGTGCTTTTGCTGGGAATCACATGCATCCCTGTGCCTTTTAACGAGGTGAGGGCTCCCTCCAGACACACCTTTCCTTATTCTGTCCATTGGAAATGTTAGAGTTAGGATCGCAGTATATACAGAGTCTCAATAGTAGGAGCATATACTGTATAACAGAGTCTCAATAAAAGCATGATTTTGCTGGGTTTCATGTGCATCCCTGTGCCTTTAAGGGGGGGGTGTGCTCCCTCAAGGCACACCTGCCTTTAACTTATCCATTGTTATAGGTGCTCCTACTATGGAGAGAGTGTGTGTGTGTGCGCGCCCTCTGTATGTATGTAATGTAAACTGATAGAGCGATTAAATTCGGTTGTTTGGCAGGCTGGCTGGTAAGTGTGCTGGGAAATCTTTTGTTTGCAGTGTGCATTGCCCTTCCATGTGCACATTGCTGCAAAGGCTAGTTACAGGTTGGGGTGGTTGCCATTTGTTTTGTTTATACTGGTACCTGGCACATTACTAGTAGAGCAAAATTAAGGCATTCTGTTTCCTTTAACAGCTGAGATCACATCGACCTTTTAGCTTTCCTGAATTGGACCTTGATTTGCCCTTGAGCTGGACGCCTTGCCTCAAGGGAAGATAATACCTCTCTTTTTGAGGCGTTTGATCAGGGTGACACCTTATTGGGTGAGATTTCATCCATGGTTAGGGCTGCTCTGGCTATGCTTATTGAGATGTACATTCTTGTTTACAATGGGAGCAATTGGAGTCTGCTCACCCTAGTAAGCCTGTCCTATCTCAATCTGGGAAGAATTGTTTCCCTCTGCCACAATGCTTAGCCCAACAGTATCCTATTGAGGGATGTTTGCTTGTAAAGTAGACATGATCTGACAGGTGCACTTTGACAAATTAAAAAAATCTCACATGCGGAGGATGCTCTGGCTCTAATGCTAGTCAGCTAAGCTCCCTCAAAAGCACAGCCTTGAGTAGTTATCCAAGGAAAGCTCAAACAGGTATATTATTATACAGGACTGTATGCCTTCAAATGGACAAGTATATCAAAGTAATCACAAGGGGTAAGTAGAGCAGTGCCTCAACCAGTAGGTCTTCATCTCCTGAGGTTAGGAAGGGTTCACTTCATCCCTCCCAGTATATTTCGGTTTTGAACTTGGCATTGGAAGACTTTGGAAGACATGTCCTTCCAAAGCAACTCTACCCGTCTTGAGTAAGGGGACGTCTTTTTGCCTTTTTGTCCCTTCAAACTCTGATGCCTAGGTTTAGTGTGTCATATTTTTTTTTTTTTTTTTTTTTTTTTTTTTTTTAGGACTACGGTCCAGAGTTTCACATTCTGGTTCCTGTCCTGGTGAGCTGATCTATTTGCTGCTGTTCAGCAGCTCTTATCTCAAAAGCTTGTCACCTTTGTACCATAGCAGAAAACATTCTGATGCTTCTACTCCAAACCTGTTGCCGGATGAATGAAGAATTCATCCCCTTCTGGATCTGCAGATCATCACCTTGTTCCTATGCATTCAAAGTACTGTACTTCATGGCAAATACCAGCTTGGTCATTGCCTCCCCCCTTCTAGGGTATGTTTGGGCCTGAACAGGGTTTTTTTTTTTTTTTTTTTTGCCACAT